AAATCTGATGGTGTTTTAGGTCATATTTCTGGAGAGAGAGAGAGATACATAGAAAATTCAAAAGGGTTCACAAACTTTCAAGCACCACTGAAACTCATTCACAGGGACCGGAGGTGGTTTTGGTACACACAGAGAGGTAGCCATATGGAAAAGTACCTCATGATGTTGTGGATAAAATCAACCTTTCTAGCCTAAGTCAAAAAACTTATAAGACAGAGAGTTTAGTAGATGTCAAAAGTAATAAACTTTATTGGAAACCAACAAAGGTGACTGTCTGCAGATAGTCCAACTTGTACATACATGAACGTGTCTTTATATACTTCCCAAAAACAGTAAACATAATTCCTAGGTGTGGTATTCACGGTTTCTTTTTAGAACCGACCAATCTCCCATGCCTTAACTAATTATTCATATCTATATGTTACCCCACCATTGTGGCGCATGCGCAGCCAGATGTATGCTCTTCAAAGTTCTTACCAGAACTGGTTCACCATCATGTCACATAATTCATCCCATAGCCTCATATTGGTACCCTTCCCTTGAACTCTTATCTCTTTTTATGTTACTGATTTGCAAGCACAAGGCGGGGCCCATTTCAGAAACCCAGCTCTGGAACGTGTCTAATTTACTGCCACAAAGTGAAGTTGCGTTTAGACAAACACAAGCTCTTAATTTACTTCTACAGAGTGAATCTGCTTTAGACATCCCCATAGCACCTAATTTACACACCTAGAAGTGAAGCTGAGTTTAGACAAACAAAGGCTCTTACTTTACCCACCTAGGAGAACACACATGTTGGAAGTGTTCTATAGCTTTAGATTTACCTCAGAAAGCAATTAGGCCCACTGTTTAGTAAGGCACAGAATTCTTCTACTCAACCCACACTCAGAATATAACTTGACCAACCATAGTTCAATGAGTTCAGATTATGCTTCCAACTATGGATTACAGTTATTTGATTATGCTTTAAGTAATACTTCTAAATGTAGGTTACATATTGAATACACTTCATTAACATATCCAGAAGTGACTTATACATATCGATTACACGTCATAGCTATTTTCTTAGACATATTTTTTATATATTTTCTATAATGACCATGGTTAAATATGGTGGTGGATCTTGAATGTTTTGGGGTTGTTTTTCTGCCAGAGGACCTGGACATTTTGTTAGGATACATGGTGTCCTGTACAAGAAAGCTTCAAATGGACCGAGGTTGGATCTTCCAGCAGGACAATGATCCAAAACGTTCATCAAAATCAACACAAAAATGGTTTACTGACCACAAAATCAAGGTCCTGGCATGACCATCCCAGTCCCCTGACCTGAACCCCATAGAAAACCTGTGGGCTGAACTGAAGAGGAGAGTCCATCAGCATGGACCTCGAAATGTGAAGGATCTGGAGCGATTCTGTATGGAGAAACGGTCTCAGATCTCTCACCATGTATTCTCCAACCTCATCAGGCATTATAGGAGAAGACTTAGAGCTGTTATCTTGGCAAAGGGAGGTAGCACGAAACGGTTGACTAAATTGACTAAAGCGGTGCCAATATTTGTTGCACACCTATATTTAACATTTATTTTATTAACCTGTGTTTCGTTTGCAATTGTTCGATATCCATGAGAACAGAGTATTTTATGATTTAAAAAAAAAAGATGAAAAAATTAAACAATAAAGACAATTTTCACAGCCTTCTTTGCTCATATTTACCAAGGGTGCCAATATTCTTGGAGGGCACTGTATATTCTTTAAGTTGATCTCTGTTCAATTAATCTCACCATTATATAAACCACATTTGTGCTGGGACAACATTAATAATTTGTCACAATCGTCCAATTCAGAGCAGCCTTGTGTTTTGGATGAAATATCAACTATTGTTAATAATATATCTAATAGACAGTCCCTCCAGGTTTTTGCCATTTTTTCATTGCAGAAATGAACACAAAAAAAATCAAGCAAACTCTGCAATCTTCAGAGAAGCTTGCAATTTTTCCAAAATGACCGCAGATTTTCCGCAGATTTTCCGCGGGCCAAGATGCATTATATGAAGTCATCACATCACACATTCAGCCAAAGCTTTCTTCGATTCACTTGCTTTGAACATGAGTACAGCTAAAATGTTTCATTTACCAGCATTTACACTTCATGAGATCGCGATTTCACCAATTCAAGAAGCTTTCCGCAAAAAAACACCGAGATAATTTTTAAAAAATTGTTAAAAGCCAAGCACAATCAAGCGTTTTTGGCCGCAACAATCACAAAAAGTTCCCGTTTATTTATTTATTTATTTATTTATTTATTTATTTATTTATAACTGTTTTAGTTGTGTATCCACATTGCCAACTGATAATGCTTTGTGAAGAGTTTTGTGTGTGATTTTGACCATCTAATTAAACCAGGTGTAAATTAGCATCATGTTTTTTGCTCAAATCTGTGTAGCTAGTGTTGCCACAGGCTTGCTTGTAGGTTAGAGGGCAGGGGATGGGAAATACTTGGAGGAGTTAATGCCAAGAGAAGAAAAAAGTGAATGATGGCTAATAATGGTACCAGTGCTAACACAGGTAAAATAAATGAAATGGCCACCAGAGAGTTTCATAGCATTTCACTAGAAAAATAAATAAATAACAATACATTCACTATGGCCAAAAAGAATGTTAGAGGTGGCTAGCACAGGCTTTTCATTTATCTGCAGTAAGTGCTTTATGCTGGTCAGGGTAACGGCCAGTGCATCACATGGCACCTCACATACATATTCACACTACATGTTTCTAACCTAAAATGCAATGCAATATGAATGCTTATCAGAACATAAAAGGCATAAAAAGTCTATTTTGAATAGTATCGAGAATGCTGCTCTATACTTCCTCGATAAATACACTGAGGATACAACTGTAATCTTATACTAATATTGTTAAAAAAAAATATATATATATATATATATATATATATATATATATATATATATATATATATATATATATATATATATATATATATATATATATATATATATATATATATATATATATATATATAACTTTTTTTCTCCAGGTTTATAGTCAACAAACTTTTTGTTATGCAAAACAAAAGTACCTTTTAAGCTCTCAAGTTTCCATACACAAATATGTTAAGACCTAACATATAACCATTAAATTAGCTATAATAACCAGGAGATATATATGTACATATGTGTGTGTGTGTGTGTGTGTACATCCCATAATTGATTTACTAACAATATTTTATTCGTTTTCAACTGATAAAATAAATAACAGTTACTAAATGAGAATTTGCTGCGTAGTTCATGCTGTTTCTAACAGAGATAATGTACTTTGAAAGGGTTCCGTTAAAAATCCCTCTCCTTGCTGAAAGATTGTGGCGGTTCAGTTTGTTTCCTATTCATATACGCGTAGTAAAATGTGCGCATGCGCGTGAATGGTGCGCATGCGCATAGTAAATCCGGCGGGGGACGCTGATCGGGTATCCACAGAAGCATCGGATCAGCTCATCAATAAGAGTCGACTTTTTCGGCTCACAAACGGCTCGTTACCGGGTTTTAAAAATCTATTCACTAACCGTTTAGGGGATGTAAACTATAATGTAAATCCAGGTACGACATATTTGGTTTACTCTTAGTAGTCAATTCAGTTTCTGATATCATTCATTCTAGAAAAGTAGCTATTAACAGATAATAAATATATTATTTTATTTTTATTTTATTTTGTAAATGCATCAGAAATCGAATCATTCCGAATCAATCGACAGCCGTATCATTTCATAAATTCAAGTAGTTTTCCACAGAAAACACACAAAATTGCTTTGAAAAAAACCCCAAAACAAAACAAAACAAAAAAACAAACGACGCAAAGTCAAGCATTTTGGCTGCAACAATCACAAAAAAACCCTCTGATTAATATTTCCATTATTATTTATTATATACACACAATTGCTCCATTCCGTTTAAGTCACCCTGAACTGCTGTTATTTCTACCTCCGCTGTAATGGATATTTTACAACTCCGCCTACTATTTCCGTTTAAGATGCAAACTTTGTATATAGGGGTTTGTTAATTGTGTTGTGGTGGTGTTGTTTTTTTTACGTGTGTGTTGAATGTCTAATACAAAATGATTCGGATTCTGATATGCGAGTCAACTTCCCCAAAAGATTCGCCTAAAGGATTCGGCTCATAGAGTCGACTCGTTGCAGCGACACATCACTAGGGCTCAGTTTCCCGTTTTACCAGGTGAGATCTAATCCTAATCTTCGACGCGTTTTTTTTAATTACTATTATTAAAATCATCTCTGTAATTAGATCTGATTTTAGTCGAAAGTCAAAGCTTGTTTTTTTTGGGGGGTCTGTGTGTTTAATGTGGTTGTGTATATTCTGCTTTAAATATCAAGATGAAGATAAGCTAAACCGCTTGCTAGCCGAGCGGCTAAAGTGGCTGGCTGCCAAATGGGGCGCCATTCGGTCTTAAAACATCACGGTGTTTACCCCGAATCATTGATGAACCTATTATTAAACCGAGTCTGTGAACAAACGACGGTTATTCGAACCCTTTTTGGCTAATAGGACCAGACGGAGAGTTCGCGAAAGAAAGTTTAGCTTGCTAATATTGTCCTTTCGCTAACGCTTCGCGACACGCTGAGGAAATTGAATCTGGCTAGTAACTTAATATATCCCAGACCAAGACAAAGAAAAGTCTAAAGACCGGAGTGCGTCTGGCTTGGTTACTAACTTTATTACTATTTCGTATTTGTTTATGATCGCATCGAGCTGTGAAAGTGCACTTTAGATAGTGTCGTTTTGGGCATTTGGTGAAGGGCAGAGAACAAAAGGAAGGTCCATTTGATACTCTTTAAATTCTTGTCTACATATAAATTACAAACTCATGAGCTTTTAAAAATACGTTTACATGATGATTAAGTAAGTGTGCTGGTGTTTTATCTTATCACTTCTATAGTGTATAATTGGAGATATTATGTTATTACTAGGGGGAGGGGGAGGGGGTTAGTGGTTAGCATGTTTGGCTCGCACCCTCAGGGTTGGAGGTTTGAATCCTGTCTCCACCCTGTGTGTGTGTGTGTGTGTGTGTGTGTGTGTGTGTGGTTCGCATTCTCTCCCTGTGCTTCGGGGGTTTCCCTTGGGCTCTCCAGTTTCCTCCCCCAGTCCAATGACATGCACTGTAGGCAGATTTTTTAATCGTCTGCAGTGTGCGATTGTGCCCCGTGATGGGAGTGTCCCCTGCCTTGTACCCAGAGTTCCCTGCGATAGGCTCCCCCGTGACCCTGTGTAGGATTAAGCCGGATGGAAAACAGACGGATATCAGCTTGACTTGTCATTCTGGCTGAATTGTTAATGTGACTGACGGGTCAACCGTTCCCACCATGTTCATCAGACTGAACACGCCAAGGAAAGTTCCTTGCTGTCAGATATGATGTGATTGAAAGGCTATCAAGAGGTACTACATAATCAGAATGTTTATTCCTGTCAAAATAGCCCCCCACCCCCCAGGCAATTAACCGTGATGAGTGAAGTATACTTTCCGTAGATGTTTCAGGATTAAGTGAATCGAATATGTCTAAAACAAGTCGATCGATCTTTGTACAAATACTTGTACTCGAGCCGTTTAAAAATTGTGTAGTTCTGGTTTTTCGTTGTCGGTCAAAAATGAAAGTAAACCACTGAGCATGTTTCCCTTTTCCCGCTCCAGATGCGAATGGTGTCCTATCGTAAGCCGTCTTCCGCGCTCGTTTTATCGTACACATCTTGAAGAGTGTGTTCAAGAACGAAGGACCTCACTATGATGACTTCAGACGAGATTAAGTGCGAGGACGTGGAACCCACGACGAGTTCCAGTAGTCCGGAGCAGTCGTCCGAACAACTGGAAAACGAAATGCACATCTGCTCGCGGTGCGGGAAGAGCTTCCCGCACCTGAGTCACCTCCAGACGCACCAGTGCGTTCACATAAAAGGCAAGCCGTACGAGTGCTCTGAGTGTGAGAAGTGTTTCAACGATCGCAGTAGTCTCATAAAGCACCTTCGGATCCATACGGGAGAGAAGCCGTATCAGTGCTCCGAGTGCGGGAAGTGTTTCACTCAGAAGGGTCACATCACGAAACACCTGCAGATTCACACACAGGAGAAGCCGTATCACTGCTCGCTCTGCGGTAAAAACTTTAATTACCTCTGTAATCTCCAGCGACACCAGCGCACTCACACAGGAGAGAGGCCGTATCAGTGTTCGCAGTGCAAGAAGAGGTTCAGCGAGAAAGACGGTCTCATAAGACACCAGCGCATTCACACAGGAGAGAAGCCGTACGAGTGTTTGGAGTGTGGGAAGAGTTTTACCGAGAGAGGGAGTCTCTTGAAACACCAGAGAATTCATACAGGGGCAAAGCCGTTCGAGTGCTCGTACTGCGAAATGAGTTTTACGCAAAGGTGCAATCTCCAACAGCACGAGCGCATTCACACGGGGGATAAACCGTTTTACTGCCTCGAGTGTGGGAAGAGTTTTAATCGGGAGACGGCTCTCCAAGTGCACCAGTGCAGTCACACGGGCGAAAAGCCGTACCACTGCCCAGAGTGTGGGAAGAATTTTAGCGACCAGAGTAATCTCCGCCAGCACCGTCGCATTCACTCAGGAGAGAAGCCGTACATCTGCTCACACTGTGGGAAGGGTTTTACACAGCACTGTCATCTCCAAGTCCACCAGCGCATTCACACCGGGGAGAGGCCATTTCCCTGCCCCCAGTGCGGGAAGAGTTTTACACAGCAGTGCCATCTCCAGCGTCACCAGCGCATTCACATGGGAGAAGTCGTATCAGAGCTGATCGTGTGGGAAGAGTTTTACCGAGCGGTGTCGCCTCCTGGTACCCCAGAACCGTCAGAGAGCTGTGAATGAAGACATCCTGCCGTTCGACTGTGAACCACAAAACAATGCTGACATGATAATGAGCTTCCATTAAAAAAAAATTGTGCTTTTGTTTCATTTTGAATTGATTTGCAAAGTGACCTTGTGTGTGAGAAAGGTGCTATGACTTTTTTTTGTGTGTGCTGGTTTTATTTTGAATTGTTCGCAAAGTGGCCTTGAGTGTGAGAAAGGTGCTATATGACTACAACCTATTATGCAGTGTCTTGCATAAGGATCCCCCACTTGAGTGTTACAACCTAGGACTGAATTGTGATTTCTATCGCTAGGGCTACACAATATGTCTAACAATTCAAGGCAACACCTTCGGTCTGTACTAGGCAGAACCACACATCTGATTGCTCTCACAGCTGCAAGTCTTATGGGTTTGCCTGTTCTTCTCAGTCAAATTGCCCCAGCTCTGTCTTGTGAGACGGAGTCCTTTGGCAAACGGTAATTTTCAACTCTTGCCACAGATTCTCATTAGGATTGAGGTCGGGGATTTTACAGTGCTGTTTTAACACGTTCCGGTTCATGGTCTATAAACACTCCAGTGTAGCTTTGGCAGTATGCTCATAGTAAGGTCATTGTCCTGATGTTGGTGAGCCTCTGTCCCAGTTTCAACACTCTTGCAGACTGGAACAGGTTTTCTAGGATTCCTCTGTATTTGGCTTCAACTATCTTGCCCTCAACCCTGATTAGTTTCCAAGTTTGCACAGATTAATATCAGAATAATGCTGTGGGGATTGTGTTCGCAGGGTGATGAGCATTGAGTTTCTGCCACACATTATACTTTGTCCAAAGGGCAAAAAGTTTTTGTGTCATCAGACCAGAGAACTTAGAAACATGCCTCCATAGCCCACCTTATGGCGTGAACAGCTTCTTCCATCTTAGCTGTGGAACTCTCCAGGTTCTTCAGAGGTACCCATTGCCTCTAAATATCTTCCATGACTAATATCCTCATTACCCCATCACTGACTTTTGGTGGATAGCCTCAAGTCATGTGTAACTTTAGTGTTTTTTATAATGGATTTTGTAATAATGTCACTCTGCAGGTTGTGGTTTAGTGGTCATGCTTGTTTACCTCGCACCTCCAGGGTTGGTGGTTTGAATCCTGCCTCTGCCCTGTGTGCGCAGAGCTTGCAAGTTCTCCCCGTGCTTCGGGGATTTCCTCCGGGTACCTTCCCTAGTCCAAAGGCATGCGTTGTAGGTTGATTGTCATTTCCAAATTGTCTGTGACCCTGTGTAGGATAAGCAGTACAGGTGCAAAAGATGGATGGATGTTGCTCTGCTGGATGTTCAAAATTTGTAATTTTATTTTATAACCAACCCCTGATTGATACTGTTTTAAAAGCTCCTCACTGTTTTTTGACACTCTTTGTTTAGGCATATCCTATAACAAACTCTGGATTCTTACAGGAACAGGTGTATTTATATTGAGATCAGGTGACACTAATTGCACAATGGTCAACTCATTATATGACTTCTGCTGTTTGTACTAGAAATAGTGTGAGGGGTTTCACAGCAAGACGTGATGTAAAAACTTTTACATGTAATATTTGTAAATATTTTTTCAAACTATGTTTGGCTCCACTTCAATATTCTGGGTTTTGTGTAGATTCATGACATAAAATCCCAATTTAGGCCGTTTCAGTTCCAGGTTGTAACACTACAAACAATGGAGAAGTTCAAGGCACTGTAGGTAGTGTTTAACTTTAGCTAATGGCTGAAAGACTGACTCTGACCTGGTTGCACCAGATCACACAGCAGCCCAACCATCCCAGTTTCATTCTAAGCCCTTTCTTAATACCGACAATATCATGAGTTTCCTCCTACTTCCCTATCAGATGTGTTAAGTCATCCGAGTCTATGGTGTGTAATTACTATTTAAAAATATAACTACTTTCATTTAAAATGTTTATTTTGAAGTGTGTTAACATTGTACTGAATACATTTCACTCTGACGGTTGCACAGTTTTCTATATTCCTGAAAATACTTTTCCAACAGCAGGTATTGCTCTTCAAACACAAATTTGTTTAATATTTACAGTACAGAAGAGACAGTGTTCATCACTAAGAGACCTTTTGTACAGTTCAGAAGAGTAAATATAATTTCTTGCATGTTATGGCTTCCATGGCTAATTAATATAGCGTATAATGGTCAGCCATGAGCTAATAGACTACAGCTGGATAGTTGTTTAAAATACACATCATACGCAGTAACTGTGGACATATAAAAAAAAAAAGCAAAAAATGATAATCTTGCAATCGTGTACATGCATGAATAATCAAAAACAGAAAGAAAGGATCATACAGTTTTGTTGTGTAAACTTCCTACATAGGAAGTAATGTGCTGCTTTTCTCAGTACTACTGATATCGGATGGAGCCTGGCTGTAGATTTAACCTTTTACATAATGCACCGTCAGAACTTCTGTAAACTCATATATGTTTGATTGTTTGGGTTGAATTTTCAGCTGCAACCTCGGACTGCTGTGGTGTTTGACAGCAAGAAAATGATTCATGTGAAACTTCTGAATTTTCAGCACAATTCAACATTCAACATAAGAGGTTGGCTAGATTGATGCCTCAGCTTCACCAACTCAAGGACAGATAAACTCAACCTAAAGACAAAACTTTTCTGCTTACCTACTCCAGTGATGACAGGGTAGGTTGGAAAAACGTCTCTCATTGGATTAACACTTCTTATTTAAGTATTTAATTTAGACTTAGTTGCTATGTTTTTGTTTTTCATGTCCTCAGAAACAGATTGGTCTATGCTATCTGACAGTGTGTAATCAAATATTAATCAATAATAATGTGTGATAAATCCTGACTGTTATTGTTGTTTTACCTGTCACATCCTCTTTCTATGTGGTTTGGTCTTATATATTCTGTATTATCCCTGTAGTTGTTGACAATTACTCTTAAACTTGTATTCTATTCTATTCCAGTGTCTCTCTTATTTCACCATAGAATTCTAAAGATTTTGTCAATTTCACAAGGAGATCCAGAGTATTCAAGCCAAAGGGATGCAGTCCCACTTGCGTATGCTTTTATTTCATGTTCATTTTTCTCATGAGTCCAAATTTAATCCAGTGTTCTACTGACAGATTAAAACAAGTACTTAATCTTAATGATTTATTACTTGTAAAGAATATGCT